TCATAGGTGTGGTTTGGGCGTAACGGGAAATAAACCAATCAGAGCGTCATCCAACATACCCTTTAAGTGCAGGTGCGCATGTTGCATGGCGGATTGCTATTATTATAACGGCGGATTTACCAGGCGCGCCAAGAGCGGTTCACAGCCGAGGAGACCGACGTTCTTGTCAGGGCAGTGAAAGACAGAAGTGACGTTGTATGGTGATGGGAGTTTTTTTTTTCCTGGTTCTTGACGGACAAACTAATTTGTCAAATGTCCTTATATACATATGTGTCTTGCCACTATTGGGCAGGTCTGATCCGTCATTACTACAATTAGCCTGAAAAATTTGGGCAAATGTGTAAGCTAGATTTAAGCCTACATTTTTTTACATCTTCATGGACACCACAATGATTTCCCTCATGTGTTAATATTTTTCCTTGTTATAATGTATGATTTGCAAAAATAAAAACGGCTGCATCTGTGTTGATGAGAGAATCAAAGTGTATGCGCGTTGTGCACCCGCTACATTACGGCCATGCACGCTTAAAATAGCATTATGAACAACGCGCAACGCGCCACTGACTTCAGACTAGGTTTTTTCTGGTCAGTGGCGGAATTGTTTTCTGGAACTGCAAAATAGCACTAGGGAATGTTTGCGCCGAAACACGCCTCCTTTTTGCGCCGACCCGCCCAGGAAGCGCAAGTTCATTTCCTAGTTTACCGACGTGCGTCTGTGGAGGGAAAAGCCCGCTTTGCGCGGGTGCAAAATAGGAATGATACATGCGTCAGTGTACAAAGTCATTTGCGCCGGGTGCAAGATAGGGCCCATAGTGTCAAAGAGATAATAGTATTAAAAGACATTACAAAAGACAGTAAATCATTCGCAAAATGTTCTTCATGTTCATTTATAGATCAGTTCGTCTATAATTAATGCAGCAAAGTCTGTATTAAAGGCTGTTTCTGTCTTCCCCATCGTCTCTGTCTTGAACGTGACCACATTTTTAACCACAATAAAACCAACTTATCTTATCTAACTAAGACCTTCTTGCCCTCACTGGGGGATGGGACCACAGATCCCAGAGTGAGTTTTAAAGATTGTTTGGTACATATACCAAATAATTGTGTCTGATTTGTCTCAGTCGTTACAAGGGAAAAGGAGAAGGAACGCGCAAAGTCCCGGATTTACTTTGGAAAAGCCTTTGAAAGGTAGCGAGATCTCCGCCAGCAGAAGGGCTTCCAATCCAACATTCAGGTAGCTCTGTTTTTGCTGGACAGGTGGGTAAATCCAGTTTGGTTTTTCTAAATGGACTTTCATGTTCGCCTAACAAACACAAGGATATAATTAGCTAGAACTATGCAGTCAGCGCTAACTTTGGTGAATACAACATATGTTTCTAGCAGCTAGCTATCGATCTCTATTGTAAATGATCAAGCAAACTCACAGTAGGGCGACAGTTTGTGTGAATGATTGTTTTCACCAACTGTTTGTTATGAATTTGAATGTTCATTCATAGCCTATTGACAACTGACTAAATTTGTCTATGACGGGGCCGTTGTTTATGCTCACTGGGAAACGTGAAGCTAACGTTATCTTGCTATTATTGCACCCTTGTTTGGGAGCTAAAGTTATAACCTCAGGTGGCAAAACGTTTTATCGTGTTTTTTCTGCATTCTGTTCTGCATTATATGAAAGCATTTATCTAAATTGGCAACATTACACCTTGAATGAAGTAGGGGAGAGCCGGGACGATTGAAACGCGGGACGGATGAAACAGAGATATTTCCTTGAAAACAACTCACGTCATTTACGTCAAATTTTGTCAGCACTTACAGCACGCAATGCCTATCAGACCCGCGAAAACATTTCTTCTTTACGTCATGTCGTTTTAAAGTTAGAGCCGGAAAGCTGTTTTTGAGTGCGGTTAGTGAATTCTTTCGTGCAGTACTTTTTTTTGACTGACAAGTTGTATTTATGTTTTCATGTGCCATTGTAATAATAATATGGAAGGTGTATTAGTACTGCAACACATCCTTAAGTGTGTAATATCTGAGTTTTTTAGTTTAAGTGTAAAACGGGTTTAACTGGCAGGAGGCGCTGTCGGGATGGTTGAAACAAGTGTTTCAATCGTCCCGACAGCGCATCCTGCCAGATACATCTGGTCATAGGAAAACCACGGTTGACCTTGTTTTCTTCATAATAACAGGCTATTCAACTAGCAAACACTCAATATGATTTAAGGAAGAAATGTAAGAATATGAATTGTAAACGGATTCGTCAAAATAGCATAGTGGAAAGAGCACACAAAATGCGCACGGCTTATCGCCTATTGTTTATTGGGCGACAGAACAAAATGGTTAATGTGAACCTTTAAATTAAAATAAATTACAAAACATGTTTGTAACAATTATGTACATAATTAACTTGTTAGGTATTGTTCATAAAAACAAGCATTAGATGAATAGTTGCCGTTTAAACTGTAATGTTTCATCCGTCCCACCCCTGTGTTGCAACCGTCCCGCTCAGGCGGGACAATTGAAACAAAGCACAACTCCCGTTCAAAGTAAATTTTTACTTAAATCATTCTATATTTGTACAGAATAACACATGATACTAAGAGAACACATATGTGAGTTGTTGATTACAAAAACAAAAAAAATCTATCTGTAACCTTATCTTAGAAAACGACGTTTATCTGAAAAGTGTTTCAACCGTCCCGGCTCTCCCCTATCATTAAAACTACAGGGGGAGGGGACGGGATGAGGAGGGAGGTTCTAGCTAGCCTCCGTTTTGTTTGACTTCGAACGTCAACAAGAAGTGACATCACCCGTCCGACATCGCTTAGAGCACCTTTAAGGGCTAAAATGTTTACCGTTGCTTGGCAACACCCTTAGCATGTTAGCTCTAGCAGCTTTCTACACTTAGCCCGGTCAGCCGGTATGTTCAAAACCGAGGTGATTTTTCCCCAACTCTTCTCTTTGCCCATAGTACGATTGTAGTATGTTTTCTAAGACATTGTGTTGTTGCCAGGTAGGGAATGTCATGTTGTTGCCGTTTCAAATGTTTCTCTCATTCACCTCTTATTGGCTATTGTGAAAGTACTGACGTAATCATAGTCATAACCATCCTGATTTAAAATTCTAAATATCAAACATGTTTTATATCACTGGGGCAGCCCGATGTGTCCTAAAGCAGATTGGGAGGTTTAAAACTAAATCTGAAAACGCCTCATTACCAGATAATCTGTGCTGAACATCGGAACCGACCAAGGTCCTGAACAAGATTTTTTCTCAGATTGTCGGTAGGGGTAAATTGGGGATAAATTGGCCTAAAACTCCTGGGGCCGGTTGTACCAGCTGCGCATTAGTTACAACTTAGCCTAGTTGTTATGTAAAGTGGCACTAAGTTACAACTTACGCATTACTAAATATTTTTTTGCGTTGTACCATTCAACTTAGTTGAAACATATGGATAAACTAAATATTTACAGAAGCCTTCGACCAGGAGTAATGATTGGAATAAAACAGCAGCTTGTTTGATTTGCAATAATCTCATGTTTTAGCTACCTGACAGACTTCAATACTTCAGACATATATGATGTTGACATTTACACTCGTTTACATTTTAAGAGAGAGAACATTATGTGAATAAATTACTTGTCTTGCGGCTCTTCAACACGAACCGGATCTAAACAGAGTGTGCATTGCTCTGTGTTGTAGGCTACATGGCAAATAAAATCAATCATAATAAATAAATGTCCAGTAGCGTAAAGAATTTGAGTAAATATAGTTAGTTACTCTACTTCAGTATCTTTTTGGCTACTTTGTACTTAGAGACGTAGAGTGTAAAAGTTGCTAATATCTTATAATAATCTAATAATCTATATTCAATTTGACTACAATTTGAACAAGTACTCTTCTTTACTCAAATACATTTGAAATGAATAATGCAATTACAACATTACATTTTACATCCACCTAACTTTTTCTGCAGCAGTTTATTTCTTTTTCAAAACCAGCATTATCGCCATCAACAGGGCAACAGCCCGGCTTAAGTCTTATTTCGTTTTTTCTTCTACTTACAGCTACTGTCTTCTTGTGAGCAGTAACATAGACTGATCGGTATTAAATGTGTTAAGATAATCTTACTAAGTTACTAGGAATTGAAAGGAATAGTTCACCCCCAAATGTTTATTTTTTCACCATTTACCACTCATGTTGTTCCAAACCTATATGTGGTTTTGTTTTCAGTGGAACACAAAAGGAGAAACTTGTACAAAAGAAGAATATTTATGCAGCTCTCCCAATACAACACTTCCAAGAAAGAAAAAAAAAAATACACATACAAAAATCTAAATAAAAGTAGTCTATGATGTGTGCCACTTGGGATAGGGCCTGTGTGTGCACAGGTGATCAATGGAAGCTGGCACAATTTTATCATAAAAAATTCTTAAATATCAGTTTTTCTCCAAAACTAAAAGCAAATAGCAATTGTTATTGCCATTATATTCAATTTATCCAAGTAAATTATTTTTGTATGAACAATACCTTTTAAAGCAATAGGGGAGAAACACTTCTCCATATTAATGTGTGGGTTTAAATGTTTGTTCTGAGAATGCATGTAACTAGAGAGACTGATGCATATAAAATTTCAGAAATTGGTAAAACTGAGTGGAAATCCTCCTCCTATGCTCACACCCCTTCTCAGCAGGACAGCCAAGCTGAGGAACTTGCTGACTCAGCACTGGAAACAACCTCTTCCTGCCCCACCCCTCCCAGTGGATTCACCATCCCACAAACAGCTCCTCACATTAGGAGACCTTCATCTGCAGTCTATTGTTTTATGCTGTCTCCACCCTGTAGCCAACCAACACGGACACTTCATGATCCCCAAACTGCACACAACAACAAAAGTGTTGTGTACTGTGAAAAGTTTTATAAGAGTTTTAGGTTAATTCAGCCCATTTCTCTCTGCTACTGACAGGAAAAAGTGGCTGCTGTTTTAAAGAGTGTGTGGGTACCTTCTTCTTCCAGGCATTTTCACTCTCCTGCAGCTGGGAGTAACGGTCAGCCAGGGAAGCCTGGACCACATCGGTTTGCTTATTCTTCTTAAGCTTGCCCCGGCAATCGTCTTCACCGCTCTTAAACTCTGCCAGCCTGCCAAATGTAGAGGGAACTTATTATAGAAACAGACATAGAAAGTGAACTTTCCACTTAAGCAGCTTCTGTGTTTAGACTGTGTCAGCAGTATAACAAACATCCCATCAATAGACTTCCGTGGGACTTTCATTTGGACTTTTCATTCAAAGCTGGGTAAAAGGTAAAAACTGAAGTTAGAAGTGCATGTCGTTCCTTGGTGCACATAAATGAGATGTAGGTTCAAGCCCTGTAGAGATAGTCTAAAAATCTATTTAACAGATATTTTTAATCGATATTCATACTTTTCCACCAGTAAAATCTTCGTAACAATATACTTTTTTTATGCATAGCACTTTAAACTATTCAAACAAACATGAAAATGAAGGAAAATAAAATTAATAAAAAAAATAAAAATAAAAGGTTTTATCTTAGTTTTTGTCCAAGTCAAGTCAATGGAGTTGGACAAAAACTACGATAAAACCTGTTGGAAAGCATCTTTTGCAGCGATTTTTGTGTGAGCATATCAGTGAACACCCCAGACCACTCGGTGAGTTTCACGTCTTTGTAAACTAAAGTTTAATGCGTTTTATGAAGGATTGTTCCAGTGCACCTATGCAACCATTGTGGAGGTGGGGGGGTGCAACCACAGAAACCGAAAATTCTCGGGCCAGCAGCATGTGTCCAAATTTCAATCTTAACCGTTCTATTTCATCAGAAACGATCTTAAAACAGGGCTTTAAGTGTAAAATACAGAACTTGTCCTTTAATGCATCTGGCAGATTCTTTTATCCAAAGCAACTTCCGTTGCATACATATTAACAGTTCATGCATTCCCTGAGAATCGAACCTATGACCTTTGCGTTGCAAGAGCCATGCTCTACTGTTTGAGTTACATGAATGGTTTTAAGCATTTAAACTACCTTTCACATTATACCTCTCTTTGAGGGAGGAGCTCATGCTCCCGTCGAGGCTGCTGTCTAGCTCCTCCTCTTCTTCAGATTGGGAGAAAGACTGGGTTTTGTCCACAGAATCTGGGGAAGGAGTGCGAGAAGTCTCACTCGAGCTGCTTTCCTCTCTCTGCAGCATCCTCTCGTCTCCGTCCTCCTCTTCCTCCTTGTCATCCTCAACCTCTTCATCCTTGGCCTTCTTTCCATCAAGAACAGTCAGCTCCTTGCAGGTTTTGATGGCAGGAGTTGTGATACACTCCAGCTCGGCGTGTTCGGAGTCCAGACTGGTTGAGCGGCTCTTCTTCAGGATGCCTTTTATGTTGTGCTGGCCTGAGTCCTGTCTCTGTAGGACTGGCATGGCAGCTTTTGGCTCTTCATCCACCTTAAGAGCTCCAGAAGAAACAATCAGTTCTTCTGTGCCCACAGAACACTGCCTATCTCTCACTTTCGGCTCATTCTGTTTAGCCTAGAAGACACAATGTAAAAAAAAAAAGGAAAAAAAAGAGGGGATCATATTTGAACCCCTTTGGTGCAAATTTTGGTAGGTGTTTTGTTGTAGATGCTTTTTGTTTCTTAAAGACTGATGATTTTTTTTTGTCTCATGGCTAGTGAGTATGAGCGTTAAAATAGAAATGTTTCCTATTAAACAGCATTAGGGCCCTATCATACACCCAGCAAAATGCGGCACCAGGCGAAACGCGAGTGTTTTTTGCAAGTTTCAGCCCGACGCAGTTATTTTCACATCCTGCGCCACGTTGTTTAAATAGCAAATGCACTTCCACCCATTTGTGCGCCCATGGGCGTGCTGGTCTGAAACCGAGGTGTGTTCAGGCGCATTGTTGGCGTGTTACTATTTTGAGGCAACTGAAATATATATAATATTTTTTTTGTTATTTTAAAGGGCGCATTAGTAATATGCGCCTATAGGCGGGTGCACAACGCGCGTACACTCTGCTTATTTACGCAGTGCAGCAGCACACAAACATGACAAATATTAAAAATAAAAGGATTACAAATGTAAAAGATTATTATTTTCAACAACGTGGTGTGCCTCAAGGTTCAGTTTTAGGACCACTTCTCTTTTCTATTTATGTAAATAATCTACCATTACTTCTTAAAAATTGTCAGGTTCAACTTTATGCGGACGATACTGTCATATATACTTCTAATTTTGACCCTATACAAATTCAATTATCTCTTCAATCGGATTTTAATAGTTTACAAGAGTGGCTTTTGGCTAACAAATTAGTGCTTAATAAAACCAAGTCATATACTATGATCTTTGGTTCTAGACATAAACTTAATTCCAAAACCTGTTCTTGTGCTATATTATGTAAAGACGGTACTCTTCTGCATAGAGTTGATACTATTAAATACCTTGGTGTATGGCTCGACTCTAAACTTTCCTTTAAACTTCACATTAATCATGTCTTACGAAAAGTCAACGTTGGAATGAGTATCTTGCATCGATCTCGAAATTGCTTTACTTATAGTGTTCGTAAGAAACTAGTTGCTCAATTAATATTTCCATTGTTTGATTACTGTGATGTGGTTTATCAGACGGCATTAAAATCTGATCTTGTCTTACTTAATTCGGCATATAATAGAATTTGTAGATTTGTTCTAGGATGTTCTTTTTCCACTCACCACTGTACAATGTATGATGCACTTCAGTGGCCACCTTTGAATGTGAGAAGGCAGACGCACTGGCTCCAATTTATATTTAAATGTATTTATTTTGATTATCCTAGTTATCTACAACAATATTTTGTACTCTTTTCCTCAAACTATCATGTTAGGCATTCTGTCCAGACTTACTTTTTTGTTCCTCGTGTTAAAAAAATAATTGGTAAGAGAGCATTTATGTTTAAAGCCCTATTAGATTGGAATAATTTACCCATACATATTAGATCCATTACTTCATTTCGGTTGTTTAAACAATCTTTATTATTTTATTTGAAAGTAGATTGCACATGCTATCATTGAAACTGGTGTTGTAGTTTTGTGTATTGTTGTGTATGTATGTGTGTATGTGTATTTGTATATATATGTGTATGTGTATATGTATACATGTATGTGTATGTATGTATATATATATATGTGTGTATTTTATATTGGTGGTGTCTTGTTGTTTGATGTATTAATTGTAATTTTGTTTTTTCTGTAATTGTGTTTCATTGTAAGGACCCCCTCGAAAACGAGATGATACATCTCAAGGGGTTAATCCTAATAAATTCTAATAATTATTGTGTACATACAGATATGGTGGAATCCAGCTTGTCCTGTAGATGGTCTGCTCGAGCGCTTTAAACTCGCGCACGAGCAGATCCGTTTCCTCTCTGGAGAAGCTGAATGTCTTTCTGCTGGCAAATTCCGCCATGTAAATAGCAATCCGCCATGGCGCGAGCGCAATTGGCTTTTAAAGGGAATGGGAGATGAGACTCTGATTGGTTTATTGCACGTTACACCCAAAACACCCATTACTCATTAAGAGAATAGGGACAACCCTTTTATACCATGCGCCGGGCACGCCGACCATTTTTCCCGTCATTAAACTAGCAAAAGTGGATTCGGACACGTCCTAAGTGTATTTGCGCCGTGCGCTTTAGACCATGTGCTTAGATCGTTAAAATAGGGCCCTTAGAGTTAAGTTCAAGTAATTTTCATGAAATAATTATTTTTTTCATACAACTAAGTTGTAACTTTGATGCAATAATTTGTTTGCGCCAACTCAAAAATGTTCACTAAAGTTTGTGAAGAATGTTTTTCTTATGTTTTAAAACGTATATTTGGCTATGGAGATAGACAATCACAGCTTATGTAAGATCTTGCCAGCAAATAAAAGAAAATTGAAACACAACACTGTGTCTGTGCCTCTCATTTTGGGCTAAAACATGCGCTGACCCTTCCATTCTTCCTCAAAACAGGCACCCAAACTCTCTTTCTCTCCCAAAAGGAGAAAGAAAGTTATATAAAGAGGGGCAAAAGAAAAACAGTGAGAGTGAAGGAGTGAAAAACATGGTTGGCGGTCTGTTTAACAGCAGCAGAACCACACACCCCTCATGGAGGAACACAGAAACACAGTGACCCAGAGAGAGAGAGAGAGAGAGAGAGAGAGAGAGAGAGAGAGAGAGAGAGAGAGAGAGAGAGAGAGAGAGAGAGAGAGAGAGAGAGAGAGAGAGAGAGAGAGAGAGAGAGAGAGAGAGAGAGAGAGAGAGAGAGAGAGAGAGAGAGAGAGAGAGAGAGAGAGAGAGAACAACAGGAGGGTTGATGTCTAGAGCCACAGCTGATCACATGTGTACAATACAGGAAGATGAGGAGCGGTCATAGAAGCACATAGCTGTTGTAATTGTAATAATTACTCAAACAAATCAAGAGAGAAATCAACTCATATGCAGGGTTTATGTGGGTTTATGTGAGCAGAGTTCACACATGCACATGGTTGCTAGGTTGGGAAGATAAAGTAAAAAATTGGTCAGAAAATGTATCCACTTAATAGAAAAGCTCTGATCGGATGATTTAAAATGTGATTAATAGTGCAGCCCTAATTTTAAGGAATCTGCTGATGCTTTACTGTGATAGCAAACAACATTAACACAATGCTGATTAACAAAGCTCTTCTAAACCAAATTGAAACCAAACCAAACTTTTTTTTTACTGATTATCTAAAAATAAATCATTGTGGATCAGATACATTATGAAATTCTCTTCAACTTCAACTCTCATGACTGCTTACCATTTCTTCCCTCACATTCTCATTTTCCTTGTTTCTCGCATCCTGTTCTCCTGCAGTGAAAAGCTGAAAGTGGGAGATCTCATCCTGTCTGAAATGTATTCTTTCTCCAGAACTTTTCACACCCTCATCTGAGGAGGAATGGCTGCAGGGAGAAGATATATTTGGTAGGGATCTCATTTCATAATCAAATTTATTATTGTATATATCATTTTATTATGTGTTCATTCAAAAAGCTGAGTATGTGTGATTAGTGGAGATTAGCGGATGCTATGTGTCAAATAAATAAATGAAAACAGATGCTCTGACATATAATGTATGAGGAATCAGGCTGCTTTCCATAAAGTTAATCATTGTGACTGCTTACACATATTAAGGGGTGAGTCATAGAGATGTCTGCCGCCGAACACAAAGCAAAAGAGCATTCGGTCCAAATTCCACAGATTCAACACTCAACTCAAACATATACACAAACAGAACATATAATCTACACTATTAGCTCACACTAGCTGACAAGAAAACACAACTAATATTGATAACACGCACACCTAAAACCACACACACATGCAATCAACCTCATGTTTTACAACAGTGATATTAGTTTATCCTTAAATCTGACCAGCAAATCAAACTTCAATTTCTACACACACACACACACACACACACACATACATACATACATACATATATATATACTGTATAAAGAAATGAATGGCCATCATAGGAATAAAATGCATTTTAAAATGTATTAAAATAAATATAAATATAAATATAAATATATATATATATATATATATATATATATATATAAATAAATATATATATATATATAAAATTAAAAATATATAATGTAACGGAACAGCTTCGGTGATGATGCTGACTGTATGTATACTGGCCTAATCCTCCGGTCAGAGAAGACGCAGCAACTTCTTTCCTTTAGATAAATTTATTGGTCTCTTACAACTCTACAGGGCATTGCAATATGTGTATGTGTGGTTTGTGATGCCTGCAGAAGACAACAACAGTAAAACAATATTAATACTAAATATAGCTGCGAGCAGCGATTACGGGCCCAAGCCGGTGGCACCGCAACCCCGGTGCCTTTAGTTACCTAAAGGCACCGGGGTGATGGTGCCGCTGGCTTTGGCCCTTCATCGCTGCTCGCAGCTATATTTATATATATATATATATATATATATATATATTTATATATACACTCACCTGCCACTTTATTAGGTACCCCATGCTAGTAACGGGTTGGACCCCCTTTTGCCTTCAGAACTGCCTCAATTCTTCGTGGCATAGATTCAACAAGGTGCTGGAAGCATTCCTCAGGGAGTTTGGTCCATATTGACATGATGGCATCACACAGTTGCCGCAGATTTGTCGGCTGCACATCCATGATGCGAATCTCCCGTTCCACCACATCCCAAAGATGCTCTATTGGGTTGAGATCTGGTGACTGTGGAGGCCATTTTAGTACAGTGAACTCATTGTCATGTTCAAGAAACCAATTTGAAATGATTAGAGCTTTGTGAGATGGTGGAAGTAGCCATCAGAGGATGGGTACATGGTGGCCATAAAGGGATGGACATGGTCAGAAACAATGCTCAGGTAGGCCGTGGCATTTAAACGATGCCCAATTGGCACTAAGGGGCCTAAAGTGTGCCAGGAAAACATCCCCCACACCATTACACCACCACCACCAGCCTGCACAGTGGTAACAAGGCATGATGGTTCCATGTTCTCATTCTGTTTACGCCAAATTCTGACTCTAACATCTGAATGTCTCAACAGAAATCGAGACTCATCAGACCAGGCAACATTTTTCCAGTCTTCAACTGTTCAATTTTGGTGAGCTCTTGCAAATTGTAGCCTCTTTTTCCTATTTGTAGTGGAGATGAGTGGTACCCGGTGGAGTCTTCTGCTGTTGTAGCCCATCCGCCTCAAGGTTGTGCGTGTTGTGGCTTCACAAATGCTTTGCTGCATACCTCGGTTGTAACGAGTGGTTATTTCAGTCACTGTTGCCCTTCTATCAGCTCGAACCAGTCTGGCCATTCTCCTCTGACCTCTGGCATCAACAAGGCATTTCCGCCCACAGAACTGCCGCTCACTGGATGTTTTTTCTTTTTCGGACCATTCTCTGTAAACCCTAGAGATGGTTGTGCGTGAAAATCCCAGTAGATTAGCAGTTTCTGAAATACTCAGACCAGCCCTTCTGGCACCAACAATCATGCCACGTTCAAAGTCACTCAAATCAACTTTCTTCCCCATACTGATGCTCGGTTTGAACTGCAGGAGATTGTCTTGACCATGTCTACATGCCTAAATGCACTGAGTTGCCGCCATGTGATTGGCTGCTTAGAAATTAAGTGTTAACGAGCAGTTGGACAGGTGTACCTAATAAAGTGGCCGGTGAGTGTATATATATATATATATATATATATATATATATAAAGCCGGCGGCACCGCCACCCTGGTGCCTTTAGGGTTATTGTGCACGACGTGACACAAAATATCTGCTCGCTATCTGCCGAACGGCTCTGGTAGTTTCGCTTCAGCACTGATGATGTTGTAGAAACAGTGCGCTCTGGTTGGTCTGGATTATTCGGGATTTTTTATTTTATACAGAAATAAATTCTTTATAATTCAGATGAGAATAAAGTTAGTGTTGATTAAAATGAAGGAAAACAAATATATTGATCTGAAATATAGCACATTAATTTAAAATTTATTTAGGTTCAATTACCAAACATACAATCTTAATTTAATTTAAAGCAAACAATACATTTAAAATATATGGGTTGTACGCAATTTTTTTTAATATATATCCAAAAAGACAAGGCCTTAAAGGGTTAAACTCTTGTCACTGTAACAGACACAATCTCTCTCTCTCTCACACACACACACACACACACACACACACACAAACACACACGTCAAGTCACTTACATTTTAGATGCAATATTGAATAAGTAGAAAAATCGGATTTTCTGCTCTGAAAATATAAATAAGCATAAAAATTGAATAAGCACTTTGAATATTCTAAACAGAATAAGCACTAGTTGCTAATGAATAAGTACTAGTACTTAATGGAATAGATACTAGTATCTAAAAAATAAGTACTAGTAGCATGAAAATAGAGACTAGTAGGTTAAAATGATTAAATGTTAAAACGGCTTGCCATATTGGCTCAGAGAGAGAGAGAAAGAATAAATTACGTTTTAGATACTAGTACCTATTAATAGATACTAGTATTTATTCAATAAATACTAGCACTAAGTCATTAGATACTAGTATCTATTAAATAGATACCAGTACTTATTTGCTACTAATACGTATTCAAAAGAATATCTAAAGAATAAGCACTAGTATCTAAAGAATAGGCACTAGTACTAAAGAATAAGCACTAGTCGCTAATGAATAAGCGTATTTGATACTAGTATCTAAAAAATAAGTACTAGTAGCATGAAAATAGAGACTAGTAGGTTAAAATGATTAAATGTTAAAACGGCTTGCCATATTGGCTCAGAGAGAGACAGAGAGAGGCTCACCATATTCAAACCAAAATATCTGACTTCCTGTTGGTCGTAGCTAATTACGGTAAATTAGAAAGTTGTCCGGCTCGAAGAGTACAATATACATATCGAGTTTTGTTACTGTAGATAAAACTAACCCCCCCACTTTTGTCAAAAGCATTTAGAAAGTGACACACTTCCTGCTGCCAGTTGGTGGCGCTATAACTTTGACTCACAATAGTTACATCCTTCTGATTGGCCTCTTACCACGAACACACTGCTGAAGTTTCATCAAGATCAGTTAATGTATGCAGAAGTTATAACACTTCGTGTTTCTCTTTTCTCGCCATAAATTCGTTTCCTCGCCACGGCCAAACCGGTCGAGATATCAAAAATCCGTCCGCAATTTAGCATCTTCAATGTGTTGACCTCAAGCTGACCGAGTTTGGTGGTAAACGGATGCAATCTCTAGGAGAAGTACTTCAAATTCCAGAGCAAGCGTTCTCCAAACAACCCATAATAGCCGACTTCCTGTTGGGCTGGCGTAAAACTTGACCGAGGGAAAGTTGTTTGGCCCGATGAGATCTATATGTGTACTGAGTTTCATATTAATTCATGTAAGCGTGTTTGATCTATGGACCAAGTTTTGGGGACCCCGTTCAAGGGGGCGCTGTTGAGCCCCCCTGCCACGCCCGGGTACCAGCTTCAGCCCGGGCCTGATGGCTGTGGGCGCTGACCTGTGTGCAAAGTTTCAAGAGTTTTCAAGCACGTTAAGGGCCCCAAAAGCCCCTGAAACCTTGAACACCATTAAAATAATAGTCAAATTCCCCAAACCCCCCACACACAGAGACAGAGGGAGAGGGAGGGAGAAAATTCTTCTGAAAATCACATTCAAACCAAAATATCTGACTTCGTGTTGTTCGTAGCTAATGACTGTCAATTAGAAAGTTGTCCGGCTCGAGGAGAACAATACACATTCCGATTTTTGTTACTGTAGGTAAAACTAATACCCCATTTTTGACTAAAGGTGGCGCTACTGAGCCCCTCACCACGCCCGTTTCTGAAACTTTGCACATGTCTACTAGCTAATAAATGAGATGTGTCTGTCGAGTTACATGCAATTTCAAGCATGCCAAGAGTCTCAAAGGCATCAAAAAAGAATATTAAAGTTTGATGCGTTGCCATGGCAACATTATCTTAGATATTAAACAATCCTTTCATAGGTCTACATCTGCCGTGTGTTTACATTATACAGATACAGTTTGAAGCAAATCGGGTAAAAATAAGAGGGTGATTTCAAAGCATTTTGAAAGTGACACACTTCCTGCTGCCAGTTGGTGGCGCTATAACTTTGACTCACAATAGTCACATCCATGTGATCGGCCTCTTACAGCGAACACACTGCTGAAGTTTCATCAAGATCAGTCAATGTATGCAGAAGTTATAACACACTTCCTGTTTCCATTATTCGCCATAAATTTGTTTCCTCGCCACGGCCAAACCGTTCGAGATATCAAAAATCCCCTGGTTATTTTTCATCCTCAATGTCTTGACATCATGCTGACCGAGTTTCGTTGCGATTGGTTGAATTCTCTAGGAGGAGTATATCGAATTCAGGGGCATATGC